AAATAGATCCAAGCTCAAAAGAATACAAAAAGAAAATAAACATAAAGCATATTTGAAGCTAGAGCCAGAAAGTTCGTCATCATTAAAGGACTCAAGAACAGAAAGATGGGAGGGACACTCCAGGTTAACAGTTTTGCAAAGCTCCAACCTTCAAAAGCAAAACATTTTCTCAATTAAAAATGAACCAGCACTAACAGAAGGCAAGAAGTATAAAAAATGGAACACCTCTAAACCTGATAGTTTTTTTTTTCGAAATAAACCTCTAAACCTGATAGTAAATCCCCTAACTCCATACTGCTCTACTCCGTGTCAGGGCACTAATGTAATTCAGTCCAATCACAGTGGTTAAAGATGTCCGAGTCTTGCCGATGAATCAACAATTTCAACAAAGTCATACTTAAATATACAGAAAGCTTTTATCCTTTCAAAATTACCAACTTGAGTTTTATCAAAAGAAATTAGGACTAATGCCATTAAAATAGCAACATCACATACAAAAAGTGGTTAGTAGAAAATTGTACCATTTTCTCATACTAAAACCAAAAGAAAATGATAAGAAAATAAAAGATTTCTAAAACAAAAGAATGAGGAGAACTATTCTTTTTTCCAAGAGAAAGCAAATAGCAAGACAAAAGCATCATTTGCACCCTCGACAAATTTTGTCACCAAAGACCATGTCCTTGGACACAGAAGCCAAAAGGATCACTCTGGCCCAAAGTAGGTGTTAATGCTCGATTTCAGCACCCAAAAACTACTATGTCATAACCAACAGAATAAAATTCAACCTCTATAACTAATTTTGAGAAACAGAAAGAGAAATTTGAAAGTATACCTGAGAAAGACGAGTGCATGTAGCCCGGACACGTGCCACCTCTGTCTCCGCTTCACCCAATCGAGCTTCCTTCTGTGCGCAATTTTCTGTCAAGCGGACCTTTATAACCATCATTTCCAAGCGAGAAACCCCATTAGATTGACATAAAACATTGGTTAACTCAAATTTGGGACCAAAGTAAGTAAACTTACAATTTTATCTAAGTAGCTCTTGATAGTAGCATTCTTTTCACTTTTCTCTAAATCTTTCTGCTCCAACAATTCAATTAAGTTCCGTTTTGACTTATGCAGCTCTGACGCCCCTGTTGTCAACCTTTCTATCTCCCCATCCTTTCCAATCTTCATAACATCCAATCAAAAACAATATTATGATCAATAGACATAGATAATCAATAAATGATAAGATTAGCAAAAGATCCCAAAAACACATAAATACACAAGGATAAATGCATATTTATACATCCTGCCCCGAGGTAAAACAACAAATAGAACGTTGGAACTCCAAAACAAAGCACATGAACATATTTCAATAACAAAGCCAAAAAATTTGTGCGCACTTTATGTTAACATAGAACAGATTTAAAAAAATATAACCTAAGAGGAGACTAATCGAAGGAAAAAATTGTGAGTTTAATAGATCAAGGAATGTGATAGAGACATTAACTTTTTCTATAGCACTGCAAGTTATCATTGCAACTAAAATTTTACCACTCAGTTTGTGATATCCGCACAAGTTTATGGGTTTGAAAATGGCTTAAAAGATGTCATCATTAAGTACTTTGAGGCCCTTTATATCAAGCTTCTGTTTGTGGTGCTCTAAACTAGATTGTTTATATTTCGTCAAAAGAGCATTTTGAGGCCCTTTATATTAAGCCTAAGTTTTGTTGTCCTAAACTAGATGGTTTAGATTTTGCCTCCAGATGGTGTGGATAAGGATCGCATTAAAAAAGACTTTAATGAGGGAGAAACTACATTGCTCAATCTCTGTAAAGAGAAAAGGCCCTAGGCTCAAAATGTATTCACAATGGCTCTCCACTAAAGCTACTAGAATGAAATGAATTAAGGGATATATGTGTCACTTTCATGGGCGGGAGCAGAGGAGAAGAATTGAGACCACCTAATGAGATGGGGCGACTTGTTGTCAGTCCAGGGGTTCAGGGCTTTGGGCATTGAGAATCTTATATCAAAAAATACATCTTTATAACTTAATAGCTTTGGTGCTTTCTCTGATAACTATACTCTTTGTAAGACAAAGTGATCAAAAACATTCACGGAA